ACCAAATGAGCTGTCTCTCTCTATCTCTCTCTGTATCTCTCTCGTTCTCTCTCCTCAGGTACACGTAAATAAAGTTATCATCATAGATAATTATCTAGAAAACCAAAAAAAATCCAGAAAGGGTTTCTATACAGGGGATCTGTGCCCAGTCCCTAAATTAATAATATTAATAATAATTATTTTTATGTAGGTAAGGGTTTTGGTAACAGAAAAACCGCCCAGGGGGGGTACTACCTCCGCCAAGGAGTGTAAAACAAAGCCTGAAAATTGTTTTACTGATGGTAGGATTGCTGGTGTCTTTGTCGTCTCATAAAAAAGCAAGATTACAGGTAAGTCTTGCGTTTCTACTTAACTTAGGTCACCTAAACATACATGTAAACAATATATAAAAACCCCCCTCGGGTTTTTTTTTTCATTTTCTTTCTAATTCTTTTTCTTGTTTTTTTTCCTTTATCTCCATGGGGAAGGGAAAAAGAATTCTTCCTCTGTAAGCCTTGCGGTCGAAAGAGGCGACAAAAATCCCGGGGAGAAAGGGGGCTAGAAACCCCCTTCTCCTGAAATATTTTACAAATTTAAAAAAAGGAGAAACTTCAGTTTTTTTTTTGGGCCACCCCACCTCAGTGGGATACGGTGGTACGTTGAAAGAAAAAGTTTTATTTTATTATTACAAAAATACATATGACAAAATTAATAAAATATTATATTAAGCATAATATAATAATCGTGTCCACCATTCTTACCCTTAAAAATATCTGTAGTCTTTAAAGTAAGTGAGAGGAGAGTAACAAATTAAATGATAAAGAGAGAGAAGAGAGTGTGAATGTTCAAAATTTAGTAAACAAACATTGTTGTTGGTTTTTTTTTACCACTGGCACGAATGGTTTCTGTTCACTGCAATCGACCAGAAAAAAAACTCAATTGTTAATTTATATGTTATGTAGCATGTTTTTTTTTAAAAATTTTGAAAAAAAAATCATAGATGGATTTAAACAAAATGTCTATATTAAGTTTTATACACATTTAAAAGCACCCATGATTATTTATTTTCATTTTATATGGCATCTTTTAAGACAAAGTCACTCTTAAGAGTGGGTCTGAGACAACAAACAACAAAAACAGTACACAGGTAACAGAAAAATGGGGAACAGAAATACATTACACAGGAACATAAAGACTGCCAAAGGTAGAAAAAAACAGGTAGACAGAAAGACGACACCCCAAGTAAAATAAAAAAAGACAAGTAAAAGCAACAGGGAAACATAAAAACAACACAGGTAGACAAAAGACAGACACAGGTAAAAGAAAGATACCAGGTACACAAAGACAGACACAGGTAGCAGAAAGACAACACACAGGTAGACAGAAAAACAGACACCACAAGGGAACATAAAAGATAGACACACTGGGACAGACAGACACAAATTCAGGAAGACAGATACAGACAGGTTTATGTGCAACAGTGAAAAAAAAATGAGAGTTCAGATAAGAGCCTTTCTGCCCCAATCTCCGGCAAGATTCAGATTTTTTATCTTAGGGCCCTGGGGAAATTACTGTCCAGTTTTAAAATGATGCCGCCCCGGTATTGTCAAATTTGTACATTGGTGTGCATCACCGGGCCACCTACTGCCGAGCCGGGCGAAGTTTATGGGCAATGTCGAGCAGGGGTAAGTGGTGTAGGGGTGGTATAATTTTTTTTTTTTTTTCACACTGCCAATTCCCCCCAAGGCAGGGTGGCCCCAAAAAGAAAAAACTTTCCCCATCATTACTCCACCTGTTTGCCAGAAGGGGGCTTTTCACTCAGTTTTTTTAACTGCAACATTAAAACCCCTCCTTTAGAGTGCGTCACTGTACTTCCCATCTCCAGGACTAAGTCCGGCCTGCCGGTTTCCCTGAACCCTTCATAAAAAGTTTTCTTGCCAACTCCAACGCACGTCAAGTATTAAAAACCATTTGTCTCCTTCACTCCTATCAAACATCCACGGTCCCGCTGGAAGTCCAAGCCCCTCGCACAAAAACTCCTTTTACCCCCCCCCCCCAACCTTTCCTAGGGCCGACCCCTCCCCGCCTTCCTCCCCTACAGACGATACACTCTTTAAGTCACTTGTTTCGCTCCATTCTCTCTACATGTCCGAACCACCTCAACAACCCTTCCCACCCCCTGGACAAGTTTTGGTAATCCCACACCCCTTAAACTTCCAAACTATGAATTCTCTGCATTTTTATTCACACCAACATTGCCCTAGACATACATCCCCTGCCCCGCCTTCTCCTACGCAAAATTCATCACCCATGCTTTTTCGCCCCTATAAAGCGTTGGGTAAAACTATACTCTCATACATTCCCCCTTTGCCTCCAAGGACAAAGTTCTTTGTCTCCACATCCCTAAGTTCACCACTCACCTTTTCCCCCATCAATTCTATGATTCACCTCATCTTTTTATAGACCCCTCCCCTGACACTCCCTCCCCAAATATCTTAAAACATTTACCTCCTCCATACTCTCTCCCCCAATCTGATATCAATCTTTCATCACCAATCTTTTTTTTATCCTCATAACCCTTACTCTTTCCCGTATTTTACTTTTTAAATTTTTTTCTTTTGCACACACCCTAACCAAAATTCATCCCCCCCCAACTTTCTTCAGAAACTCCCAAAAAGCACAGGTCATCACAAAGAGCACTTGACAAATCCCACTTTTTTGTGTATTCTTTATCTTTTAAATCCACGCCTCTTGCCAAGACCCTCGCATTTACTTCTCTTACAACCCCCTCTATAAAAAATATTAAACAAACCCCGGGGAACACACATCCTTTTTCTAAGGCCTATTTTACTGGGAAAATAATTTCCCTTTTTCCCTACAACTCTAACTTGATTTCACTATCCTCGAAAAAAACTTTTCATCTTTTCGTAACCTACCTCCTACACCCTAACCCCAAACATCTGCCAAAAATTGCTCCCCTATCCCCCCTGTCATACCTTTTCCCCAAACCCAAAAATGCCACAAAGCCCTTTTTTACTTACTAATACTGTCCTTTTAATGTTTCACTGAAAAACCCCTGGCCCACAAAACCTCCCCCTTTCCAAAACCTCCTTGTTCATCTGAACCCTGTTCTCCGTCTTACCTTAATTTTTTAAATAAAAACTCTCCCATACATTTTACCGGGTTTTAACTCAACAGACTTATCCCCCTATAATTTTTTGCACTCTCTTTTGTCCCCTTTCCCTTTTATAAAAAGGAACTATGCATGCCTCTCCCAATTCCTGGTACCTTACACTCTTCCAACATTTTTTAAATAATTGCACCAACCACTCCAAAACTATACCCCACCTGCCTTTTAAATTTCTATCTTTACCCATCAATCCCGGCTGCCTTACCCCCTTTCATTTTCCCTACTGCCTCACGAACTTCCCCCAACTCACAAAACTGGGTCTTTCCCCCTCCCACAAAAGTTATTCCTCCTTGCCCTATACACAAAACAGCTTCCCACTTTATCAAAATTGAACAATTCCTCAAAATATCCCTCCATCTTCCCAATACCCCTAACCCCATTTAATAGCTCTCCTCTCCTATTTTTAACTGACAAATCCATTTGTTCTCTAGGCTTCCGTAACTTGTTAATCTCACTCCAAAACTTTTTCTTATTTTCAACAAAATTTGTTGATAATATATACATAAATCTTCTTTCAACACACCGGCCGTATCCCACCAAGGCAGGATGGCCCAAAAAGAAAAATGAAAGTTTCTCTTTTTAAATTTAATAATTTATACAGGAGAAGGGGTTACTAGTCCCTTGTTCTGAGGGCAATGTGTGGTGTGAATATAATGCAGAGAATTCGTAGTTTGGAAGTTAGGAGGAGGTGCGGGATTGCCAAAACTGTTGTCCAGAGGGCTGAGGAAGGGTTGTTGAGGTGGTTCGGACATGTAGAGAGAATGGAGCGAAACAGAATGACTTCAAGAGTGTATTAGTCTGTAGCGGAAGTAAGGCGGGGTAGGGGTCGGCCTAGGAAAGGTTGGAGGGAGGGGGTAAAAGAGGTTTTGTGTGCGAGGGGCTTGGACTTCCAGCAGGCATGTGTGAGCGTGTTTGATAGAAGTGAATGGAGACAAATGGTTTTTAATACTTGACGTGCTGTTGGAGTGTGAGCAAAGTAACATTTATGAAGGGGTTCAGGGAAAGCGGCAGGCCGGACCTGAGTCCTGGAGATGGGAAGTACAGTGCCTGCACTCGGAAGGAGGGGTGTTAATGTTGCAGTTTAAAAACTGTAGTGTAAAACACCCTTCTGGCAAGACAGTGATGGAGTGAATGATGGTGAAAGCTTTTCTTTTACGGGCCACCCTGCCTTGGTGGGAATCGGCCAGTGTGATAATAAAAAAAAAATAAAGGAACGGGAGGTACAGAGCTCTATGGACAGATATGTTGTGCGACAGAAGTCCAGTGACTCTCAAGTTGGTCCTAGTGGCAATAAAAGAAGAAGGGAAGTAACCCCGGAAAAAGACTTGATACCTCATGTCCTAATGGAAGGGGATTCCCCTTCTAAACACTAACACCATCCACACTCTCCCCTCCTCCCATCCCATCAATCATCACCAGATCTTCATTAAAGGTAAGTGTCAATTATTCTATTGTTATTAATCTATTGTTATTGTTGTTATTGTAATTATTCTATTGCATTAAACTTAATATTTCATGTGGTAAAATTTTTTTTTTCATACTTTTGGGTGTCTTGCATGGATTAATTTGATTTCCATTATTTCTTATGGGGAAAATTAATTCGACTTACAATATTTTCGACATTCGATGAAGTATCAAGAACGGATTAATATCGAATGTCGGGGGTCCACTGTATCTTGCTTTATATTATTATATACCTTATATGTTTAGCTATATATGTAAGGGTAGTGAAATATCTGGGTGTAAAGTAACATAGAAATTATATCCTATCTATAAACAATACAATCATACACACAGTATAGTGAAGGTATACAGAGTAAGTATGACTCACGTGCACCAAAGATCTGGCCCAGTATGGTCTTCTGGTTGGAGAGGTCAATGTTGTATGGGGTCTCCCCTGCACGGTTGGGACGGTACAACATCTGACTGTTCTTGGGGTTCCTCAGAAGAATTTCTACAATCCTCTGTAACAGTTTGTAATGTGTGTAACCTACATAATACATGACTATACAACATAAAACACATCTTATTTGAATATACAAGTTTACATACTTCACAAATAACCCGCACATAGAAGAGAGGAGCTTAAGATAATGTTTTGGTCCGACTTGGACCATTTACAAAGTCACACCCATGAAAAGGAGAGGAGGAGGAAGTATATGTAGGCAAGAGGAAGTAGTGGTAGTAGTGGAGGTAGAAGGTATTAGTAGTGGGGAAGGTAGTATGGAGGAGGAGGAGCCAGTCAAATACTAAGAAAGAGGAGCACTGCAAGGGAGCTAGATGCCCACAGAGGGTAAGAGTAAGAACACAGATGGGGGTAAAATAAAATAAATAAATAAATAACTAATGAAAGAACAAATACCCAAGGCAGAAGAAAGACAACCGAAAGGAGAAAAAGGAAAGAGGAAAAGGGAAGAGGGAGAAGAAGAAAAAGGAGGAATCAGGTTAAGTCATGGGTGTTCTGAAGTTTGGAGCATTTCACAATGTAGTGGGAAAGGAAAGCATCTACAGAGACAAAGTCAGGACTAAGATTCATACAAGGAAAATTGTGTATTAGGGAGGATTCAACCTGATGCCGACTGTTGAAGTTGCAAGTAGGGAAGAGAGTTGTAGCAGTCAATAGGATGATTGTGATCTCTGACATGACTTCTTTCGGCAGCGGTAGCAGCAAGCAGCAACAGGAACCTTGTCCTCTATTTTTGCTTCTACTGAGGTTACCAGCAGCCCTGTGATGGCCTAATCAAATGTGGATACCCAGAATGATATAAATCAACTGCAGAAATCACCCAAAAGTACACAAATTACAACTAACAGGACTCGTATTACCACCTCCTGCCCCGCTGCCACTGAAGTGATATACCACAACATTCACCCATCACCTACTATTCATCCAAAGCCGCAGTCAATGGACAAGGGTCGGAGCATTAAAATAAGATCGAGTAACCAACTAAGGACCCCTAACATCAAAGGTGAGACCAGTAATATCACGAGGAAAACTTCTCATACTGGCAGTCAGGACACAACCCTCATCACCCACCAGCATCACCACAACACACGACAGACAACAACAAACATGGCTGCCACCACACTCCAAGATAACTCCTTCCTTGGATTTCATGTTAAGAAGATTACCGACCCAGAAATAGCTAAACCCCTTACGATTCAGAACCACACAATCACCAAATTAACCCAGGAAATGCAGGAACTAAAAGCTTCCAATACACAGAACCTCAGCAAGATCACTGCTCTAGAACATAAACTAGACACTCTGGAACAACAAAGCAACACCCACACCCAGTCCCTAGACACTACCAATACTCTAAAAGACCAAGTCACCCTACTTACTACCAACATTATAGAAGAAAGATCAAGAGTGGACCAACAACTTGCCAATGTCATAACCAACTTCCAAGACCATAATGACCAACAACAGCTATCTGACGCTGTTGTAGTTAACAGCAAACATCTCCCACCCACAGTCACCCAAGAAACCTGCATGGAGACCACCCTACAGCTTATCAAGGACCACCTTCGCCTTAACATACGTAGTGATGACCTAAAAGATTGCAAACTGATGGGCTACCAAACGGGTAAAAAAACAGTGCTGTTAAAATTCCAAACTAGCCTACAAAGAAACAACATACTTAAAACATCCATTTCTATGAAAACTGATGTTTACGTCAATGAGTGCCTTACCAAAACAAGACAAAACCTTCTTTATCGACTAAGAAAATTACGCTATGCCCCAAAAATCCACCAGTGCTTTGTGAGGGATGGAAAAATCGCAGTCAGGAAACAGCCCACTGGGAAGAGATACTTCATCTCTACAGAACATGACCTTAAAACATTCCTAAGTGAGGCTGGACTAACAGAATCAGAGTAAAGTGCAGATAATACCCACTGTCCACCATTAGTGTTATAATGCCATAAATTTTGTTCCCCCCAAATAATCTCCAATATCCCAACTGCTATTGAATGTCACTGTTGTATTCAATGACCATTCTACCTCATAGTCTTAATTGTGTTTAATATCTACAGAATCTCTCTCCTTTTTTACTTCTTACCACTTCATTGTTCTATCTTATTTTAATTGAAACTAACCATAGCTTGTCCTCAAGTTATTCTACTTCACTTTAAGAAATACTCTATCACCCAATTTTATTTTAAAATCTCTATTACTGCCCAATTTTACTTGAAACTATATTGACCAACCTTATTGTAAATTTTTTATCATTGCCCATTTTTATTTTATAATTTAGTGCCCAACTTTATTGTAAACTTTTCATCTTATTATTGCACTATTCTAGTCTTGAGTTAATTACCCAACCTTATACTTGCCCAATTTTACCAATACTTTATTGCCCAATCTATTTTAAACTTGTTATTATTGCCCTTTTTATCTGTCAAGTTTATTACCCAATTTTATTATATACTTTTTTATTATTGCCCTATTCTATTGTACTTTTCTTAACCTTTCGTTACCAATTTTTAAGCTTGTATAATCAACTCCAACTTTATTATCCTGTGTACCATCTTACTATCATATTATAACCAAGTCATTGCCATTTTTATTTTTTTTTCATTATTTTTTTTTCTTTTACTACCTTAACTTGTGTATTTTGTCTTGTCAAATTAAATTTAGTTATATACTCTAGTTCTTGTTAATAACTTATATTAGACCTTAGTGCAATTGCAAGTAAGTCTCTTGTGCCATTTTAAACTAGTATTTTTTATATTATTAGATTAAACCTAGTTGTACTTTAGCTCATTCTAGCTCAATACATAGACAACACCAAATTAATTATATTAGACCTTAGTGCAATTACAAGTGAGAGTCTGGTGCTATTTTTAATTTGTATTTTTATATTTTTAGTTTATACTTAGTTGTACTTTAGCTCATTCTAGCACAACACATAGACAATATTAACTTCATTATGTTTATTAGTGACTATACTCTATATGACCAAAGTGCTTTAGCTATATACTTGTCCAAACTTCCCACTACTACAGACATCAGTACTAGAACTCAACACACAATTCAGGATATAAATAACCACAATTTAAACCTAGAAGATGAATGATCACGTCGACCCTGATATAACCCTCCATAATCTAACACCCAATCAAAACCTACTGGAAAGTAACTGCCTTTACTACACAGCATCACAAGCCAGCACTATCCTAAACAGTGCTAAAAATCTATCAGTTCTTAACTACAACATCAGGTTCTTAAGCAAACACTATGATGACCTCCTGGCACTCCTTGAGTCGCTAAAGACACCCTTCTCCTGCATTATTCTTACTTAGACCTGGCTTAAGCAGGACACAATAGATATCTACCCTCTACCAGGATACACAGCAATCCACAACTGCAGACCATACCAAGTTGGGGGTGGTACTGCAATCTATTACTCTAACCAACTGTCTTGTATTAGCACCACTTGCTTTAGTGATGAATATGGGGAATACATTTTTGCTAATTTTACTGTAAAAAACCTTAAGATGCCTATAACAATCGGTGCCATTTACTGGATACCAAACACAAACATCCCAAATTTCAGTGAGAAATTGAAGGCACTAATAACAAACTGACAAATGAACAAGCACCACCTTCTCTTAGCAGGAGACTTCATTATCAACCTTGGCCTACTAGATGATCAGCCTGTAACTGATTTCATCAACAATATGAACAACACACTTCTCATACCAACAATAACTAAACTAACCAGGCTCACAGAGACAAGCGCAACCATAACAGACCACATATGGACCAATATACTAGCCCCCCTTAAATCAGGGATAATCACAGACAGCACTACAGACCACTACCCTACCTTCCTCTTAACAAACATTAGTAAACCACCACTGGAATACAACAAAGTTTCATTTCAACTCCATGATGAGGCTTCAATAAGGAAGTTCACAGCAGACCTAGAGACTGTTGACTGGCCTACAGAATTCTCCAATGCCAATGGTACTGACGATTGGACAGACATTCTTCTTAACAAATTACTTAGACTATACAACAAACATTGTCCTATAAAAACAAAACAGATCACGAATAAACGGCTCGGTTGCCCATGGCTAACCAGCAGCATTCTGAAATCCATTGATAAGAAACACCAATATGAAAAGCAATATAGACAGGGCTTAATACATAAAGATATTCTTAAACACTATTCATCAGTTCTCACCAAAGTAATAAAGAAACCCAAACAACTGTACTACTCCAGCAGATTCACTGACACAAGAGGAGATACAGTGGACCCCCCGCATAATGATCACCTCCGAATGCGACCAATTATGTAAGTGTATTTATGTAAGTGCGTTTGTACGTGTATGTTTGGGGGTCTGAAATGGACTAATCTACTTCACAATATTCCTTATGGGAACAAATTCGGTCAGTACTGGCACCTGAACATACTTCTGGATTGAAAAAATATTGTTAACCGGGGGTCCACTGTATAAAAAAGACCTGGAAAACACTCTCTCAGATTCTGGGCACCCACAAACTGAAAAAAAAAAAAAAAAGAATATTGTCTTAACTAAACCTCATGAAACACCACTGCATCCCACTGAAACAGCTAACAAGATAAATGACTTCTTCTCAACCATAGGATCTAATCTTGCCAGTAAAATTCCACGTACCAATGCCCATGCCGGGGACTACCTAGATGGGAATTTCCCAAATTCCTTCTATCTTGTTCCAACTGAACCCACCAAAGTCACTGAGATTATAAAGTCACTTAAAAATAACTCAGGGAACCTGTCTCATGTCCCACCATTATTGTACAAGCGAGCGGCCCATGTCCTTTCGCATGCTATTTCATTACTTTTTAACAAGTCACTAGAAACTAGCACCTTCCCGAAACTACTCAAGACAGCAAGGGTTACACCAATACATAAAGGTGGTGACTCTACAGATGTAAACAACTATAGGCCAATATCAAACTTACCACTGCTA